CACAAATCTTAAAGCTTAGATTTGGTCATTATTTTAATGTATCTCTTGATATTTTTAGATATTGAATCTCATGTATGCAAAAACTTTCTTTTGAGAAGGGTCCTTTACAGACTGGAGGAGACAGTGGCAACAACACAAAAGAAAAAAATGAGAACAATGAGGCCTTTTCACCCTGACACACACATTCTGAGTGGTGGTGATCCTGGCACTGAGTGGGTTCTAGGCACGATGTAGGCTGATCTGCTGAAGTTACCAGCTCCATCGTCCATCCAGATTCTTGTGCTGCAGAACCAGAGGACACAAGATCTGACTCCTTTGCTTTGATGCCAGGACTTTGACACTCTGAAGTGTTAAAACATGTACTACACCAGGTGTGGTGGCGCACACCTTTAATCCCAGCACTCAGGAGGCAGGGGCAGGCGGATCTCTGTGAGTTCGAGGCCAGCCTGGTCTCCACAGTGAATCCAGGCCAGCTAGGGCTACAGGAAGACCCTGTCTCAAAAAGACCAAAAAAAAAAAAAGTACCAATAAATTTGAGGAGGCCTTTTAGAAAACAAATATGTGCATCAGATAAGCTTCCTTTTCCATCTCAGAGCCCAACTTCTGTGTCAGAGCCTCACCCCAGGGTGGGCATCAGGACAGCAAGGTCCGCAGTCATAGTTGAGTTTAAAGGAAGTTTAGAGGTAGGCAAGCTCTGAAACCCACATCGTAAGTCCTTGTACCAAAATGTCCTTTGGGGATAGGGATATTACTCAGCTGGTAGAGTGTCTAGCATTCATGAAGCCCTGGATTTGATCTCCAGGGCCACATAAACCATACATGATGGTGCATGCATGGAATCCCAGCACTTGGGAGGTGGAGGTAGAAGGATCAGAAGTCCAAGGTCATCTTCAGTAGCCTAAGCTACAGAAGCCTCATCTCAAGTACACACACAGAGGCTGCAGAGATGGCTCAGTGGTCAACAGCACTTGCAGCTCTTGCAGAGAACCTGGATTCAGTTCCCAACACCTATGTGGTGGCTCACAACTGTCTGCAACTTGTTTCAAGAGATCTGACACACTCTTCTGGTCTTTGTGGGCAGCAGACACGCACATAGTACACATATCTACATGCAGGCATAACACTCATATACATAAAATAAAAATAAATCTTTAAACGCATGCACAAGTCCTTTGATTTTTGTTAAACTCCCCTCTGCTAGAGCTGCTCCTGGAAACAGGGCTCCAACAGTAGGGACCAAGATCTCCTTTAGGGATTCTTCCCCATGATAGTCAGGTGCTATCATATCCCCTAGTAGTTAACCTCACAGCAGGTCAGTGGTGGCACCCTAGGAACACAAGAACCACCCTCACTGGACAGCGGCCCAAGCCCACCACCCCACCTCCAGCATCTCATTCAGTACTGCAAGCAGGGGTGGGAGTGGCTGAAGTGAGGAAGTGGTGCTCCAAGGTGACAGGTGCAGACACTGAAGCCAGCCTTCCAAAACCATACAGCTGTTAGAGGTATCCAAGTTCTTAACTACGTCTAATTATGTCCAGATCCGCCTCCCTAACTAAATAGGGCACTTCCCTCTAATAGTCTAGACCAGCAGATAATGAAATCATAGAGAAGGTAGTCTCGCTTACAGAACTCACCAGCTACATGTGTTTTTCAAAGTGCTCAAGCCCATCTTTAAGCTAGTTGTCCACAGACCTGGAACCCACCAGTTCCTACTGACTCTGTTGCTCTTTGTCTTGAGGCCATGTTATCTCCTGGGGTGAAATGAGGAGCTTGGATTTCCAAGGGGTTTTGTTGTTTTTGTTTTATTTTCTTTTGAAACAGGGTCTCTCTGTAGCCCCAACTAGCCTGGAACTCACTATATAGACCAGGCTGGCCTCGATCTCATAGAGATCCACTTGCCTCTGTCTCCAGAGTGCTGAGATGCTGGGATTAAAGGCACGTGCCACTACGCCTGGCTGGATTTCAAGTATTTCAATAAAGCCCCCTTGTGAAGGGGCTAAGGTAAACAGCTCTTGCCATATAGTCTTGTTTTTCTGATTTCTACACTGAGTATCCAGGGCTCATGGCCAAGACATGACTGAAGGCCATGAGACTCAATGATATCTATGATTTGCCCAACCAAAGCAGACTTTCTTAGGAAAATGGTAGCCCCACCTCCTGGGGTCTGATGAGAGGGAAGCCTGGCCACCGATGAACTGGAAAGGGTTTTGAAGCTGTTCTCCAGTGAATCTGGGCAAGAGGAGCCAAAGCAATGTGTGGGACATCTGGGAGAAACAGCACTCCTGGGGCTATGAACACCATGGATTTTAAAGGTCCATGTGGTAAAATACCAAGGTCCCTAGTTTCCACCCCTGACTGTAGATCTGATCTGTTCCATCCACACAGCTTGCTAGAAAAGATCCTCTTCCTAGATCTACAGAATCAGAACTCTAAGGAATGGCTCTTAGGAATATCAATAATCACACACACACACACACACACACACACACACACACACACACAGAGCTACTTATGATGTCAGTTTGTAGAACCACTATAAACCATTGTAGTCATAGGCCTGGGGAGATGGCTCAGTCTGTAAAGTACCTGCTGTCAGCCATGAGGACCCAAGTTCAAATACCCAGAACCCAGGTAAAACCTGGGCACTGAAGCACAAATCTGTAAACCCTGTTCATGAAGTGGTGGTGCACAGAGACAGGAGGTTCCCTGAAGCTCATTGGCCAACCAGGCTAGACAAATCACTGAGCTCCAGGTTTAGTGAGACTCTTACATAACATGTACACACACAAACATGCACATACACCATACACACAGAAAACTGTAGCCATGGAGATATTAAGAAGATTGAGCCCTATCTGCTCTAGTGGAAGATTAAGTATTTTCCAGAATGGGCAGAAAAGGGAGAAATCACACTAGAAGTAAGGCTTTTAAGGGGCCCTTCAGTATATCTTTTAGATACCACAGGAGCCAAGCAAGTGACAATTCAGCAAACCAAGGCAGTCTGTTACTATCTGAATCCCTCCACTAGATGGCAGAAACATGCCAGACTTACCACAGTTTGACTTCCTAGCGATTGAGTATATCAACCAGTTTTTCATTCAGTAAATCTAGAGCAGGAACATTCCTCGCATAGTTCATGGGTCTATTTTTAAGGATTATCAAACACCAGGAAAAATGAACGTAATCTTTCACTGAACGCTGGATGCTGGAGGACACAAGAGGAAGTGTATGGCACTGATGGAGGATTCATGAGAGGATCTGGGCAAGTAAGCCCTTTAGGCACAGGCCAGGCCAGTCAGAACTCAACAAACGGGCACTGAATCCCATGCCATCTTCCTTCTGAGCAACATGTCATAGGCACCATTGGATCCCAACAGATGAGAATAAAGATGATGCCTAGCATGGACCTGGCAGCAGCAAAATGAGCTGGTACACAGTGCAGATTCATGTCTCCCACCCCTGACCTCTAACTAGTCCACTGACAGTACAGGCCTAGGCTTAGTCCTTTCTCAGACTGAGTCATTCAGCTACTGTTTATTTTAGCTCACAATTTATTGAAAGCTTATATAAGCACATACATAGGTATAGTCTTAAGATCTAGTAATTGGTTTTGTTTGGTTTTGCAGTGTTAGGGGTTGAACCCAGAACCTAACTCTATTGCTGCTCTATGACTGAGCTACATTCCCCAACCCAGAAAATACCTTCATTAAATTTTTTTTGGTGGGTTGTTTTTTTTTTTTGAGGCAGATTCTTGCTATGTGACCTAGGCGGCTTCAAGCGTGTCATCCTCCTGCCTAAGATTCTCCAATGTTGGGATCACAGGTACCTGCCACCATACCTAGCCTTTAAACTAGGCTGTAAAGTATCTAATGTACCCAATGATGGACTCCCATCTGTCTAGATCCATCTCCAAACTATTACCAGGTTCCAAGGCCCTTTCTCCACTTCTATTTAGCACTTTTAAGCAAGCATTAAGTTTTCTGCAAACCTGCCTGTTAATGGCTTTGTGAAAGCAGGACTAGTCAGTCAAGCAGGTGCCTACTAGCTGGAGGGCAGGTTGCTCAGGGTGCTGTGGCAGGAGAATGGGAGAACAGGCAAATCACTCGGGCTGCATGGGCTGGACCACCATCCCTCTGACAGCTCAGCTCTGTTTCAGTGTCCAGAGGTGGTCTTCATGGGATGGGGGTACTAGCTTTCAACACAGAGGCTTACCAGAGCTCATCTGAGTACCTCTGCCTGTGTGGCATCAAGCAAGCCACTGTGACATACAAGGTCTTAGAAGAACCGGCCTTAGGAGGAGGACCTATGTGTCACTTAAAAACAGCCAGCTGCTCAAAGAGGCTCCTGCTGCGAGTTCTGACAAATTACTAGACGGGATGGCCTGGGTCAGTGAAACAAGTGGCTTACTGAGAGTCACTTATCCAATAAGCAGGGGGTAGAGATTAAGGGACACCAAGGGGTAGGGAGCTGGCAGGAGGCTAGCGTGCTGCAAAAAGCACAGAAACCAATTATGTTAAAACCCCTGGTGGTGAGTGACCTAAGTCTTTATAAAACAAGGATATGCACATGCCTTCACTCATTCCAGTACATGGCAATAATGTGATCTTTCTTCCACCCATCACAAACCCCTTGGAAGTACCTGATTTAAGTTTTGTCTTCATTTTCAATACGTAAGAGAAGGGGGTGATGGGCTGGAAAGGCGATGGAGGTAGGTACAGGCTACATAAATGACATCAGGGAGAACAGAATCCATGTTCCAAGAACCCACAGTCTCCCAGAAACCATGGCCCACAGTCCACTTGATAAGAAATGCAGTCCAGCTGGGATCTGGGGTCAGCCCCACATATATCATCCCATGATCAAGAGGCCTAAATACAGCAGGCTAGGCAACCACACTTCCCCAGAAATGCTGGCCCAGGCCTCCCTCCACCACTGGGTCCTTACAGCAGGCCTCTGTGGCTGTTTCTAAACAGGCACCACAAAGAAGTCAACTGTTGGGATAGTTTTTGTTCAGTTTTTATTTACAGCAAAGTACATAGCATGTGGTCATTTTGTAGCACTAACAAAGGTCACACAGTAAAAAGCAAAGCAGGAAGAGCCAGCATCTTATAGGGAAAGAACAGTCCAGGTCTTTAGCCACTCACTCTCACTCCTGAGGCAGGCCTGGGTGAACCCTGGCTGCCTGAGCAACACAAAGCTGCTGTAATATCTGTTACCTGCACCTGGCACCAGGAGGGTAGAGAAGGCCCGGGAACGGGATGCCTCCAATCATGCCTTTCCCAACCTGTCTTCTTCCTTACTTTGTCTGACATCCCGCACAGAAAGTATAAAAGGCAAAGGTGACAGAGAAGGTCAGCTGCCCCTCCTCAGAAGCACTGGCCTGTATGTGCCCAGGACCGACCCTCACTTCATCTAAAGCAGCCCACTGTTTGGTGCCAAGATCTTAGAGAGGCACATAGAAGGCTCCAAGGGCAGAGGAAGTCATTTCCCTGCAAGAGGCTGCGTCCCTCCCAGTGTCTTGGAGGCTCAGTCAAGTCAACAACGGCAGCAAGGGGAAAAAAAATGTCAGTAATCATGCACAGGTCTCTCCACTTCCTGAGGGACACACCAGCCTCCACCTGACTCAGTGGCCTCGCAAAAGACAGACAACCTTCCCTGGGTACAGCAACAAGGATCCAAGTTCAGTAGAAGCTGAAACCAACTTCCCCATGAGCTCTGAGAAGCCAATGTTTGTTTCAGGGACAGGTAAACTGGTGTCTGCTGCCCTCCTCTGGACTGAACCCATTGCCTAAACCCACTGCCTCCCCCAGGGCCTACTCTAAACACACCAAAGAATCTGTCAGGTCACAGCAGTTGTACACTTTCTAGGCAGAGTCCTATCTTTGTTTATACTAGCCTCTGGTTACTCAAATGGAAAACATGGGCCAGCAAAAGTATATCAATGTGAAGTGTAAAGTTGGGCCTTTCTGTGACACAAGGCTCAGATATTTGTTTCCTGAACACTCAGGTCATAGATGATATGTGAGCAGGTAGGAGGAAGCAAGCACCATTGGGTGGCTCTGAAGCCAAGGGATTCTGTGCACGTGATCAACCTAGTACAATTGTTCATCTGTGCCTACTCTCTGAAGAGCTAAGAGTGCCCAGATGACAAATGCCATGGTTTCCTAATAATCCTAACCTCCAACTCTCCACTGAAATTGGAAATCCAGACCCTCTTAAAAGACTCAGACTATAATGTTTCCTACAGAAAACTCAAGTTCAGATGCATGATTGGCCAAAGCCTGGGTGACCAGTGGTAGAGTGTCCCATCCTTCCCTATACCCAGCAAATGCTGTCCAGTACTCCCAGCCAAGCCAGAAAACTGGTGACCATTTCCCAAGGGGACAGGGGCAGAGCAGTCCTGGAGGTGTGTTTAAGCTAGGTGCGAACTGCTCAGAGGTCCTGGAGGCTTGGTCCCAACACCACAGGTAGATGAGGAAGCAGCTAGGTAAAGGCTCAGAGATGAGAAGAATCCATCCTCCAAGGCAGTGGGATAGGCAGCCAAGGCACAAAGTGGTTTGGCACCTGGGAGCTTCAAGTAAAGTTGAGCGTGCTACCCACCAAGAAGTCGAGGCTCTTGTAGGCAGGGATGGGTTCCACCTGAGCACATGCAACCCCAAGTAAGGTCAGGGCCTATGTATGCTCACATCCCAGTCCAGGCCCTCCCTAAACTACCCTTCATCTCAGAAGTGCTCAAGCATGAACGTGAAGGTGATGTGATAAAGACTACTCTCAAAACACTCCAGGATGCATCTGTCTTGACGAGAGTGAGCCTTTAACACAGATGCCTGGGAGCCTCCCTGTTCCAGCAGCAGTTGCCGTCATGGGAACTTGGTGCGGAGCCTGAATTTTGGCCTCCTGGCACCTCATGTCAAGGGTGGCAAAGCTCTACTGGGAACTAGGTTAATGTTTTTGAAATAGAAAAACAGATTTGGAGGCAAATTTGAATCCCGAAAGGGGTATTCAGGCTGGACGATGCTGGCAGAAGGAACCGCAGCATGGCTAGATAGTAACGGAGTCCAAACCTCAGTGGGCTCCGAGAGCCACCCAGGCAGGAGGCACTCCAGTGTCCAGGTGCCAGCAGTCACAGTGCAGTGACTTAAGCGTGTGGCCCACCAAGCACTAGGATGACCATCTATGACAATCCTTGGGTCTTCCATAGCTAGACTCTGAGGCTGAGGACTGTACCTCACTCCTGTTCCATCTTGCCTGGCCCTAGTTCCTCCAAGCACTCCTCACAGCATGCCAGTAATTTACTTCCTCAGGGTAGGAGTTCCCACCAAGAGGGAGTACTTAGAAAAACCAGAAATCACTACCTCAGGTATTTTCAACCTAAGACCTCAACTTAGGTACCCATAATTTAAATACCCTCCCTTTAGAAACTTTCTAAGAAATATTTTCCTTCTCCTAGCCCTTTCTCGCTTGGCCGCCATATTCACGTGGTGATGATATAGTTCAGTAATTCAACCTGCTGCCCTCAGGAGAATCCTGAGGGTAAAGTGTAGGCCATTCTCATCCAGCCCCAGCTCAGAGGGATAAAAGCCAGTGTCTACCTACTACAGGGGCAGAGCTCCTTGGGCACCCTGTGAGCAGCTGGTTAGAGGTCTTTAACCAAAGTTCAAACTGTAAGGAGTTACTCCGTATCTAACAATGTGCCCATGTAATCTGACTAGTCACTTCTCTGGGAAGACCAGTGATTCCCTAAACACGCTAGAAGACACAGTTTACCCCCTCCTCTCACTCTTTTCTCTTGGAAAGAGACCCTGCAAAATTCCCACCAGGAAAGGAGAGGCAGCTCTGGCTTCCTGGGAGACTGAGAAATAGCAGAAGGAAGGAGTCGTGGAACTATCCAGGCAACCAGAGGCAGAGAGTGGGGCAAGAAGAATCACAGACAACTTGCTCTTTCCTCAGTGGGCCTCTTCCCTGAGATTGAGTTTTGAGTTGAGATCTCACCTAATTTCAAGTCACCAAAAAGAAAGAAAGAAAAAAAATGTCTCTATCAGATCCAGTTCCTAGGAGCACCAGGACATCAAGCGATCAACCGCCCTCTTCCATGTCTCCCCAAATGCCAGAGTCAGCCCACTTGGACCGTGGGGACCCTGCTCTGAGTAGGGCTCCAGGCCCAACACACAAGCACAGGCAGGGCCCTGCAGAATACTTATGGCAAACAGCTTTACAATATTTGTACATTTACACAAAAATAGATCAATTTTTATATATGTATGTATGTATGTATGTATGTATTTATAACTGGTTACACGTTGGAGTCATAATTAGGCATCACCAGTAGTAGTTGGCACAGTTTGTCACTTAAGCTCAGAGTCAAGCTCTGTTTGATTTGTTGTTGTTCCAAAGTACAAAAAGAAAAAAAGAAAATCAAGGCATTTCATCTCCATGGTGTTTTCTTAAATATAGTGATGTCATAGGAGACGGTATGTACAGCTGATGGACGCCTCTTGACCCCTCCTTTGTCTTGGAGCTGGGGGCTGTGGTACAGAGATGGGGTCAATGTGGTCGGCTGCTGGATTCTGACGCCTGCCTCTTGCGTGAAGGGGTGTAGCCATTGAGATAGCCATTGCTCTGCCGCTTGGAGAGCCCTCCGTTGAGGATGTCCTGGATGTGCTGCACGATGAGGTTGATGGCCACTGTGGGGCAGAGACCAACAGTATTAGGGGATTAGGGGAGGTAAGGGCATACATACAGGGCTGTGAGCAAAGCAACTGTCTACACAGAGAGGCACACAGGACCCACAGGTGAAGAATTCCAGGGAAATGGCCCTGCCACTCAAGAAAAATCACATAACCTTCCTGAGCTCTCCAGCTCATGAATGCCCAGTGAATAAACATTTTACTAAGTGTCAATCAGAGTCCTCAACAGATGAAGCAATGAACCCAAAAATTCTGTAGAAATGACTAGAGACGATTTTAACACTACCAATTAGCTATAAGACCTTTTTACTAAGGAATCTACCAACTTCTCTCCCAAGATGGGGCAACCTTATGGAAGGTCCTCTTCTTCCCACGAAAGGATAAGGTAGAGCCATATTAGTATTAGAAATAAACTATATACCTCCGTCAACTGACCAACACTAAACATCACCAGCGAAATGCTTTCAAGTGTGTGTGTTGCATACGGAGGCCAGAGGATGACACCTGGTGTCCTGATCTATCATTCTCTGCCTTATTCCTCCAGGACAAAGTCTCTCACTAAACCTAGAGCTAGGCTGGCAGCCAGCAGATCAACAAACCTCCTGTTCCCAACCCCCATAAAGCTGGGAATACAGGCACAGTTGTGCCCAGCTTTATTTTTTTAACAAAGATGCTGAGATCTAAACCCAGGTCCTCATGTTTGCATAGCAAGTACTCTTACCCAATGAGCTATCGCTCCAGTCCCAACAACAATGGGATTCTTTCTGGTGTGATCTGCAAAGACATGATGCAGCACCTCTCCTATAGAGGTGAGGAGCATCTCACCTCCTCTAGATTGTATAAGCTGAATCCTACCATTAGGAAACCAGAATGAACCCAAACTGAGGGCCACCACCAAACAATGGGCCTGTGTTCTTAACAATGTTAGTGTGGTGAAAACCCAAGGCAGGCTAAGGAACATCTCCAGGCTACAGGAGAATGGATCAACGGTATGCTTCCTGAACTTGAGTGAAAATGTTCTTGATCCTTCATACATACAGCAACAGCTTACCTCTGTGAACCAGTGAACATGTTTTTTAGATGGAGGAAAAATGACAAAATGGTGTCCATTCAGCCACACTGCATGAAGACTAGGGACACTCATGCTTCCTAACCATGCCAAGCCAAGCACAGAAAGAACAAAGGAATGGGACCATCCCGTTCCCTTCAGAAGGGCTACTGTGATAGGCAGGGTCTCACAATGTAGAGCAGGCAATCTCACAGAGATCTTTAATACCTCTGCTGGTATGAAAGGCAAGGACCACCACACCCTGCAGGAAGTATACTTTTACCAAAAGGTGGCCCTTAGACGCCAGGTATCCAAGTATCATCATTGGGGTGACAACTGAAGGGAGTCTATAGTCCTTTATTTCTACTGGAAATACTTCCTTGGTTATATCTGTCCCCAAACAAGGATCTACACATGCCCAGGGACTTGTTCCCAAGACCAGATGTGCAGACAGAAATGCCTTTCTGACTCAGTCACAGACTACATGGCCCTCTTTGATCATATTGTACCTAAATTATGACTGACATGGGGCAGAAGTTACCAACCACAGGACAACGCCCCACTGGCACTCACCGAGATTGTCTGCACCTCTAGGAATGATCACGTCAGCATATTTCTTTGTCTGTGGAGAGAGATATATGTACAGTGTGTTCAAAGAGGTGTCCAGGGATAAACTGGTCAAGCAAGCCCCTCTCTCTCCAAAGGCATGAGGAAGGGCCAGCCTGCCTCTGGATTCAGCTTGAGGTTTTGAATACAAGACTGAGGAAGGCATCTAGAAATGTGGGAGGCCTATGGAGTGCCTTCTTAGCTGAAATGTGAATAGAATGGATGCAGGGAGGGAGGCAAAATGAATGCGGGCTTTGATTTGTCAGGGTCAGAAAGTGGTCCCCACTGAGTGGTTAATTTAAAACTAATTCATAATTCACTGTGCAATTATCCCCCAGATTTCTATCCACTTTATATCTACATTATAATAAACCAGCTTTTCCTTGCATTCTTTTTACTAATGCCTAACTTCGTTTCTACTTAGGACCTGTGCAGAGAATGTGGTCTTTGAAACCAGACATGTTAAGTATCTCCAACACTAAGCATAATATGCATTTAAAAAGGTCAAACTTGAAGGCTGGAAAGTCTGCTCTTGCCTAATATGAACAAGATCCTGGGTTCGACTCCCAGCACCGACAAAACAAACAAAAACCAAAAATATAAAGGGCAGTTAGTTCGCATTCTGCTTTGACGTGGTCTGAAAGGTGACGCTTTTCACTCCCAGCCCCAGAGTAAAGCAAGAAAGGTAATCCCAAGCGATGACCAGTTTCAATCTCTATTATTACACTATTTGAACAAGTAAATTTTAAAAATGGTAAAGCCACAATTACATGTTCCTTTTCTGTGTGTTGAGTTTGTTTTGTTTTTCATTTATTGAGATTCTGGAAATAAGTGTGTCCTGGCACACACCTTCATTTTACTACACGTGCCAGGAGCAGCTCCCTGCCTGCCAGAGCACCCTTACTCCTCATGACTGCTGACACACAGCTATGTTAGGCCCAGTCCCAACTGGAACTCAGGATACTTTTTAGGTCCCGATTCCTGGCTTATAGGAAATGAGCTGGTCTTCTGGAGTGAAGAGCAGCTGGACAGTGGGAATAAGCAACCCAGAAAACATCTGGTCAGAATCTGCAGCTTGCTTGTAACTGAGTTGAACCACAGAAAAATGGCAGTGGTTAGTGCCCAATAATGAATTCTTTTCATGTTCTCAAATACGTCAAAAAGAGCAGGAAGGTCCTCAGGCAAATAGATGAAAATAATTCAGTTCCTTAGCCCTCTCCCAGAAACCAGATCTTGTAATCTAACTATAAGAGGGCAACAGGCAGGCTGGCAAGCTTGCTCTGGCTGACTCAGAAAATCCACCCATCCCTAACTGGAAACAAAAGTCAAGCCCAAGGTAAGGTAAAGGACTCTTATAAGACTTAAAGAAACAACAAAAAATGTTGAGAGCTAATTAAAGGAGAAAAAAGGCAAGTCATTCATAGAATGAGAAGATAAACCCAAGCCCAACTTTAGTACCCTGTTCTGAAGACCTTCCCAGATTACAATGTCCCCAAACAACCTCACTCAAAACCAGTCCAAATCCCAACTTCTCTCTTAATTTTTAAAAATATTTTATTTATTATTTTTTTATTTTATGTGTGTAAGTGCACCAGTGTTGTGCAATGCCCACAGGGGTCAGAAGATGGAATTGGAGTTACAGACAGTTGTTAGCCTCCATATGAGTGCTGGGAACCAAACTGGGGGCCTCTGCCAGAGCAGCCAGTGCTCTTAACCACTGAGTCATCTCTCTAGCCCCACCCCCTCTTTTAACTACAATAATGAAGGCAGGAGACCATAGTTTGCTCAGGTCAGGAAAACATGACTCACAGTTCTTCCAAATCAAATACTTTTTCCCAAACTAAGCTATGCCCTATATCTCCCATGCCAAAATTCCACATCACACTTCAGTCTCTGGTGAGTTTTCCCTAGCATGCCCCATTTGGTCTCTCCCAGGAAGAGGGCTGGGTGACTAAGCTGAGAGTCATTCCCCTTGGTTTTCAGAAAGCCATCTCCCTAAAGAACTCCAGATGCCCCAAGGAGAACACAGCTGTACCAGGGTGGAGTTAAGGAAGCGTATTTCAGTCCGTCCCAAATCCGAGGGCTGGAAAGAAGTTAAAGAGAAACCACCTATGGCAAAGGCCTCCACAAACCAGCACTCTGAACTTCAGAAATCCCCGACTGGCTGGGGTCTATCCTTTAATGTGAGGTAGCTTTAGATAAGGTCTGATACCACAACCCTACCAGGGAAGCAGTGCAAGTCTTTCTGGGAAACACATGGACTGCAGAAAGACTACTGTAACCCTATGGGGAGATAGGAAGAGTGGCAGACAGAACCTAGGCTGCTCTTTCTTAGGCCTTCAGGACAGCTGCTCAGAGAAAGAAGTGAGATTCAAGCTAGGCAGAACCCAGTAACCTACACTTTTAAGTGTGTCATTAAATGCCAAGGTATACATTCAGCAAAAACAAACCCAAGAACAAAACTCACTGGCAAGCAGAATTCCTCAAAGGCAGGCTTGACGAATGTAATGTATTGAGACAAAATCTGCTCAAGGTCCCGCCCTCTTTCGCTGATGTCCCTCAATACTGTAAGAGAAGGGAAAACAAAAATCAAAATGGCACATGAGCCAGCACACCTAGCTCTGGAAGGCTGACAGTCACCCAGATGAATTGGAGGCCAGACTCCTCAGAGACTTGATACCCAGATCAACAGCAGCTTCTTTGGAAAAAAAGTTATTAAATCTTACCACCATCAAATTCTACTACAACATGTTCTCTGACATAAAATGCTATCTGACGGAGGCCAGCTGCCTTCTTATTTCAAGTAAACAAAATTTCAATATGAATCAGAAAAGATCAGGGCAGCCCTGGAGAGCCATGCCGTGCCAACAGGAAGCACTGTAGCACCCAGCCTCAGTATACTCATCTGTGTCCAGAAGTCCTACCACAGCAGGATGGACTAGTCACCTGACTCATCCATATTCTTCTGGGTAGGGACACCAGAATGAGAGTTGGTGATGGGGAAGTACCCCGAAATGCTCACCCTGGGCACAGAGGTTTGCAAATAGAAAATTCCTTAGTGAGAAAGCCATGTACTCAGGAACGACAAGCTGGAGCAAGGAGGGAGCCCAGATGGACCTAGCTCACCTCCTTCTATTTTACCTCAGTCAGTTCTAGCTAGGGACTTATACTCAGTTTTTTCTGAACAACTGGGGAAGGGCTGGGTCATCCTGGTTCTGTCAGTATGCCCTGAACTCCCTGAGCATTCATCAGTTCCCCTTGAAGCAGGAAGTTAGGAAGCAGGTTTTGGAGGTCCTCTCAACTAACCCAGCCCTTTGTGCATCTACCATTTTAAATCTTATCAAGCTGCTGAATTTTCAACTTTGTCCTTAGAAGTTATCAGATCCATGCACAGTCTTTGCACTGGCCCCTCAGCTCCTCCTCAATCTCTCTCTAGTAAACAGACTCATGTGGGGTGAAATGCTCTGTAAACAAACATGGAAACCATCTGTAAATTAATTACTGGAAAGCCATGTCTCTAAGAAGCCATGTTCACATGCACACACGCACGTGCACGCACGTACGTACGTGTACGTACACACACACACACACACACACACACTCACAAACACACACACACCATGAAGAAAGAAGGGCATCATGGTTACGTTCTTAACAAGGACAACATAATGTCTTAAAGACTGACGACTAGAAAGCTGTCAAGAAGACCACTGTTCAGAGAGTTGGGCAGCATGATACCACCACTTGACTTTGACAACAAGCTCATCAGTTTAGAAAGTGTTTTTCCACATGAGACCGTGGATAAAATGGGTGGTTTACCCCTACCTCATGTCAGGACTTGCCTCCTAGCCACACAGAGCCACGGCTACACCTCCTCCTGCCAGGAAATGCCTTGGCAGCCCTATTCCTACTGCCCTGCAAATCTGCTGCTGAGTCTGCCAGGAAAGGGCCCAGAGCTGCCACAAGGCTGCACCCAGGGAACTCTGGCATATGTACCTAACTACTTCAGTGGGACCAAAACTTACACAGTGAGTGTGGCCTCTGGTTCTACACATATCTCCAGATAAGCCCAAAGAAAAAGGAAACTAGATCAAAAGGCATCAGAGCTGGAGGAAAAACAAACACATACCCACACTGGGGAGCCCTGCTGCCCTGGGGAGCATGTGCTGCTGCAGGCGCTTGGCGCCAAGCTTGTTTCACAAGACACGCAGCTTCCAGCTTTAGCACGGCGGCAGAAGCTCCACAACACACATGTGGGCACACTCCTTCACCAAGACCCCACTACCCTCAGCCTGGGGGCAGACCTGGTAACTTCATCTGTTATGACAGACACCACTGGTCATTCAGTAAGCTGGCAGGGATGGCCATAGTCACAGCAAGGCTACTTGGCTCTTTACCCAATGAATCTGGGCCTGGAGGGAAAGTAATCTGGATTTGAAACCTGTCCTTTGAAACACCTACTTCTGTAATCTTGAACAAGTTACTTATCTTCTTTGAATCTTCATTTCCAAAAAAAGAGACAAAGAATGGAGGATAACTTCCTGCCACCACTACTGCTGAGTGTAGGTGTTACAGGTGTGAGTCACTATGCCCAATTTTCATGTAGTGTTGGGAACTGAATCCAGGGTTTCATGTGTGCTAGGCAAGCATTTGCAAACTGAGCTACATCCCTAGCCCTCATAAAACTATTCTCTAAGAAAACAAGGAGATATGTAAAATCTTCTGCACAGCAGTTGGCACATGGCTACATGCTCAATAAACCTGCACTTCTAGGAGGAGTCCAACAGCAGAGACCCTGAGGCAGCTCCACGAGAGCAGCAGCTCCTGTCGGAACAGTATGTGGAAAGCAAGGAGCATGAGGCTTGGGAGGGGAATCCTGCGGAGCACTGGGCAGATGAGCCATGGTCCAGGAGGGGCCAGTAGGACAGAGACACATACAAAGATGTGTTAAAGACACACAAACAGGGAAGAGAGACAAGCCACACCAAGGAGATGGGTTTGAGTGTCCCAGACACTGAGCACATGCAACAGCAGAAGGCGCGGTCACCTCTGCTCCCTAAAATCCTTCAAGAGAGTTGTCACCATAAGCAGACAGGGACAACCCTATGAGCCAAGGACATTTCAGGGCCAGCCAGCTCACTGTACTGAAATGCCCTGCTCCTCGGACATTGCCAAGAAACAGAGCCAGGCCAAGGGCTGAGTCAGAACAAAGTCTTGGGACAAACCAGAAGCTCCAAACACCAACCCCCTAGCCAAAGCCTGGCACATGTGTTGGACAGGACAGAATCATTAACAAGGGGCAGGAAGCTACAAGTCTGCCATGTTCTCTCTCTGGCCACTTAGCCCTTCCAAACTCAGTAGCGCTCCTTAAAGGCAGCTAAAGTCAAGACCAAAGTTTTTTTTAGGATCCAGAGTGGTGACAGTTCCCTTAATGGATAAGTCAGCTCACTTCTGAAAGCAGTTAAGGAAAAAGAACAAATACCTGAAGGCCACTACAGCCCTAACGAGGTGAACCAGGCACAGGGAGACAAGGAGTTTGCCATCCTAAATATCCATATCCCCTTTCTTCCCTGTCCCTGGTGCCCAAGGGCAGGAAAGGTTAACAAGCAGAGAGATATAAGGGGTTCCAAACAGGAGGCCCTGCACCTCCCCAAGATTGCAGGATTCCAAAACTGATCCCTCCCCCATGAGGGATTTCAACTGTGGGAGTCACAGGCCTAGGAGGTATGACAGATGAGTAAAATCAGGTATTAACTTCTTCAGGAATATTCTCCAGTCCTACAGCTACTGCTGCAGCTAGTCACCATCCCCGCCCTGCAGGACCCTGCACCACACCAAGCACATGCCAGCCATGCTTTTTGTTCTAACCGTACAGAGAGTGAGCTACTAGAAGTAAACAGCCCATGGGAAGCCCCACAAGTCCACCAGGAAAGCAGCTAGGCAGTGGGTATCTCTAAAGAGAGAGCTGAACAAGAAGGCAACAACTTGACCAGACAGCAAGAGGCAGGCAGGGGCTAGCCTAAAAAAAACCCAGGGGGTTCCATACCCACTCAAGGCCAAGAAAGGGAGGGTAAATGTTCTGCTTAACCTATACCAGGATGAGCTGTTTTTGAATCAAAAGTCAAGACTCATTCTGTTTCCAAAGACTTCATACCTATTTTAAACCTGGTTCTAATTCCCTAGAGATTGTCTTTTACTCCCTCCTTTGAGGCTTCCTTCCTACCTGTTGGACTACTCAGCCAGGGGAATGAAGGCTTCTCAGGTCATGGTTCACCAAGACTCTCTCAGAGGCCCAGACATTCCTGCAGAAAACTCAGTGACAGAAAAAGATACCAGCCACTGCCACAGAAGCAGGTTTCTGACCTACCATAGCTGTAATCTAACATGCATTGTCCCTGTATCGCATCTATTCTATCCCTAGAGGACCAGTTGTCAGATGGTTGTATGATAGAAAAATAAGGTTCAAAGAGGTTAAAAAACAATTTTCCCATGGCCAGACATCCAATGAGTGGTGAAGCTGGAATGTTAGCCCATTTCACCTGGCTCCAAATTTATTTTTCTTAATATACCACACTGCCATTTTAACTTGGCAACCAACAGGGACATTAAGCAATTGGGTAAGACAGGATCTTGGCTTGGGGATTAAGGTGACAACCAGGCACTGGGGCAGATATATGGGTGAGGGGAATGGGGGGAGGGAGGTGACAGAAGATAGGCTTAGGCTTCAATTATCTATCAAAAGAGATTGCATAACTCCACCAGGCCAGACCCAACACAGTAAACACCTGTGTCACAGTCCCCATACAGGAACAGAAGCCTGGGGTATCCCGAGAGCCACCAAAGTCACAAAGCTAGTTGAGGGACCTGCCAGGACTAACTCCAAGCCTCCCATTCCCATTTTTTTTTTTTGCCACTGATAACACTATCTGTATCATTCTCCACCTGCAGTTAAGTGTGGCTCCAAATGACTTAAATGAGCACATACCCCTCACCATCATTCCTTAACAGGGTCAACCCCCAAACCAGTTTCTCTATGTTATTCTGGGTCCACTAACAGCTCTTGCCAAGTATTCTATCATTAATCTATTCACCAGAATTTCCAATAACTAGCATATTTACAAACGCAAGAATAGTAGGATGGCTAGTGTTGATGGTAAGCTTCATAGAAATCTGGGAGCTGGGCCTCTGGGCATGGCCGTGGGGACTACATTTACTGTGTTAACTGATATGGAAAGAGCCATCTTAATCATAGGGGGATCACGGACTGGATAAAAATGGACAAGCCGAGCACTATCATGCATGCACTCTACTTCTCGAGTCTAGATGCACTGTGACCAGTCTCTGCGACCAGTAGCTTCAAGCTCCCGCTGCCGTGACTTCCCCACCACGATTGACTATACCCTGAACTGTGAGCTAAAAGGAACCTTTATTCCCTTAAAAAAAAAAAAAAAAGTGATTCTGCCAGTAACTGACTTTGTGGCTAAGAACTAACCTAACCTCATCATTTCCTGTGTCTAGACTCAGACTGTAGTCTTTCATTCCGCCAGGATCTTTCTCATCCCTCCCAAATTCTTCAGTCACTCCCTTACCATCTAAAAATGATACCCTGCCTCTAGTCCCATTCAGTAAAATGGGTTTCAAATGGCCTCCGCATTGCAGTCTCCACCTACATGACCTCTGTCGGAAGTCTTCCAACAAGGAGCAGTGACCACATCATTTAACTGGTTCAAAATCCTGTGGCAGGTTTCACCAACCAGGATTAAACTGTTTAAAAGAAAGTCTATGTAGACCAAACTGGCCTTCAACTAGCTACATAGCTGAGGATGACCTTGAACTTCTGATCCTCCTGACTCCACTTCCCAAGTGCATTACAGATGTACACTACCAAGTCTGTTTATGTGTTGCTGGGGATTGAACCCAGGACTTCATAGATGCTGGACAAGCACTCTACCAGCTGGGTTGAGCTATATCCCTAGCCAAAAAAGACTTTCTAATGTCTTGTTTGTACCATCTTTTGGACTCTCCAGCCCCCTGCTGCTCTTAGAGCAAACTACTATCTGTCAGTATTCTCCAGGTGCCTGCACCATAGCCCAACCTCACCTCTATGACCAGACCCCGCTCTTCCTAGAAGCCTCCCAGTAAAAGCAAATGGCTCAGTATCCTGCAAAACTCTGTTCCCCAGTTCTGTGGCTTGAGAGTCTACAGGCTCCACACAAACGCAAGTTAGGAAGGCCTGTGGGGAGTTCTGCTCCTGGGCTGGCTGGCATGCTGAAGCAGATGGTGGAATGAGCCGCCCAGCACTGCAGACACAAGGACTCCTATCCCCAGATGTCCTACAGAAGCTTCCAAAACTAAGGCATCTTTATTTTGATGCCTTATGGGAAAATCATAGGAACCTGAGCATTTAATTAGATTTTTCCCTAATGAAACTAGAACACCAACTTCTTATTTCACCTCAGTGACCTCACAAGCCTTTCGTTATCCAAAATAGTTAAGTGACTAATCCCTTCTCAAATAACACCAAACATTTAGTAACAGGATGTTCTGGGGGTGAGCTGACGCAGCCTGGTTGGGTCACAGGGCCACATAGCCATACTGAGGAAGGTTTGGGCTCCAAACTACCCTGCCCCAAGGTGGCCACCAGTGGCTTTCAGAACGCACCTCTGCGGGAGAGTCGAGTGTCTGCATCTGTATCCACAAAAAGCTTCATCTGGAACAGGTCTCGGACCTCCTGGGAGTAGAAGGCCAGGATCCCTTCAAAGAGCACCACGTCCGCTGGGTAGATAGTGACTGTCTCCTCTTTCCTGCAAAGCACAAAGCAATGATGGGCTGGATGGCCAGAGAGCCAAGGGGATAGTAAGCAGCACAGTGTCTACTAGGTGGGTGTTCTGAGTTCCCTCCTCAATCCCTAGCTATCTCTAAACATCAAGCCAGGACTGAGAAACATCATCACTTTACAGGAATGTCTGCTGTGAAAACAGCATGTGCCCCCCGTTTTAGGACAAAGATGGATGAAGAGAAAAGAATGATGAGTAAATGAAAGGCCAAGCCATTCTGGACACACGCTTGGCCTATACCACTGATCACACAAGGGCTCTGCAAGGAAATAGGAGATGTTTCAGGGATCGCTGAGGTTCAACCTGAAAAGCACACAGACAGAAGGACAATGATGATGACAGACACCAGAGACTATAGGACACACTTCTTGGGATCACCACAGAAAGGGAACAGGTGGTTTTCCATGAAGGCAAGAATAACTGCTTGCTCTGCCGTGGGCACCATAAGAAGCTTAATCAACCATTTCCATAACCCACATGCAGGTGAAGACAGAAAAAACTTCTAGAACAACTCTGGGCGGAAAGCAAACTAGTCATACTTGGTTGGTACAATACACCATTTAAGTGTTTAGAGTCTGGCTGAGAAGTCCCAAAGAGAAAGCTAAACTATTAGATCATTCGCAATAACCCAAGCTGTTTCATTTGGCTGATGAGGAAGAAAACCAAAGAAAAGTATATACACCAAAAATTTTTGTATGCTATCAGAAGCCTATGGGGGATACAAGTAGTTAACCCCAAATAACTAGATGCCTGTTGGTGGGGGAGGGTGCTGTGGTTTAGAGTGGTCAGAGGCCAGTTTTCCTAAGAGATGGGTTCTGGTCATTAAAAGGTATGCTTTTAACACCCAAATCAAGAGAAAGCGAAACACAGCTGCACTGGGAATTCTACCTGGGTTTTTGTTAATACATGCACTTGATGGAATTCATACCTCATTCCACATATATTCAACTTGCTCCACTAATTCCTCCCCTCTGCACTCTCAGGCCCCAACTCCAGTTAACCTCATTTCTACTTCTTCATAAACATTATCATAATCATCTCTTCCTGAGCCAGAATGACCCCTCCACTCCTACTTTAGAGCCAACTGTAGCTCCCTACTACTAAAAGGTTTGTGTTCCTGTCTGATATGAATGACCCTTAAAGTCTGAGGCCTGCCTACCTATCTTCCCACGCTTTCCTCTTGCCATTCTTCCCACACACCAGCATTCCCACCTTTCCACAGTTGCAACCCCCCGCCCCCACACACACAGTTGGTCCATATCCCTGAAATGCTTCTCTAGCAGGAAGTCCTTTCCTAGCAACGTCTAATCCTTTGCAATACAACTTAAATACCACCTCCCTTGTGCGACCCACCTAAAACTCCAGCCCTCCCCCGCCCCCGACCTTTACTACTCCATGGGCTCCTCTCTTAGCTGTCCTGCTGTGTTCTAAGTCATTCCCTGAACTTGGAAGCAAAATAGTGAACTGGAGCATCTCATCAACTTGACACCACCACTTCCCTCTAAGGCAGAAACTAAAAGCCCAGGATCTCTTTCCCTGTGTAACGCCAAGATGCATTGCTTGTGAAGACTCAAAGATGTCCATGAGATCATAGCAGGAGGACAAGGACACTTAGCAAGATACTCTAGGAGTCTTGGAAGCAGGATGCAATACTCTCTTGCACTTTTCCATGACCGTCAGCAGCTTCAATAATCAAATTTGAGACTTTGGGGTGTTTTCTCTTACTGTCTGGCTGCCCCCTTCTAAGTCATGACTCTCCTAGCCCAACACTGAGTGCAGCTCCAGGTCCCATGCTAAACCACATTATTCCTGCAGTTTGTGGGGGTTCAGTAAAGTAGACTGACACAATTGGCATATTGCTTGGTGGTTCCCTCTGAGCTTCCCACACAGCAAGATCTGGCTCATGGGAGGCATTGGTGAGGGAGCAAGGTAGCCCCACAGTACATCTCAAAGCACTCTCTCCCTCTCATCTTCCTCCTCTAACACAACCCTTGCCTGTCTTGTTCTGGCTTATGAGAAAGACACAGGCTGTGTGTGCACTGCATTAAGGGCTGAGACACGCAGTACATAAGCATGAAGGGAGGCAAGGGCTAGGTTTATAATGACAGGAACATCTGGTAAAAGGCTAACATATGAGATCTGATTTCCTATCTTAAAAGAATTCAACTAAAAGAGAATGGCACAGAGGAACCAGAGAAAAAGAATGAAAAGCAGATGGGAGACACTTCTGCAGAAGCCTGCAGATAAAAACACTCACAGAGCCCACTATACGCCCAGAATGTACAAGGAATCACACCTGGAACAGGCCACTTAGTAGTTCAGCTTGTAACTGGGGAATCCCAAGAGGTTTCATGTTAATGCAGCTCTAACGGCACGTGGGGTCTGGCAAACAAAAGTGAACATTCCTGAACTCTTTCTCACCACTAAACTAGGGAGGATGAGCTAGGAGTCTAACTATACACTAGTCCTGACCAGGACTACCACAACAAGGGCTTCACTGGAGGTGAGTCCAGTTTGGGCTAACTTTCAGATGTATACCTGATGGCCTCAAACCCTCACACCTCTCCATACCTTCCAATTTCAAGTAAACCAGGAAAGCAGGAAGAGGCTGCTTTGCTCTTCTTCCTGTCCCTCCCCTAGTCTTCCCTACCACATCTTTTTTTTCCCAGAAGTAAAGATTCAGAGATATGGATCACAACAAATGTGCAGTCCCTTACATGGACCCAAATCATGAATTCATCCTTCATACAGAACAAAAAGAAATGGCCTGACCCATCCCAGGAGACAGCCCCATGCACTCCCACAGGTGCAAACCACTGGCACAGACAGCTGCAGTGGCACGGTGTAGGACAGAACCCAAGAGCCGCATGTGGGATGCAGCACTTAGGGGCAACAGTTAGCCATCTCTGGCTCACTTACCGAGAGTGGGAGACAAAGTCATACACGGGAATCTGGACTGTTTTCCCCTCGGTGATTTCTTTGAGTGTTTTGAAGATGAGCTCATTGTCAAAGGCATCTGAAGGAAATCAAACTGTTAAAATGTTTCTTGATTTTCTTTAACTAATCTGGCCTATAATCGTGATCAGGGTGTCCCCACAAACCTGAGCTGCATATGCACACTGAGAGAAGCACACTGACCCTTCAAAGCTAATTTCCACCCAAAGCAGAATACAAACTAGACTTCAAATTGGATGGTTTTTGTTTTCTTTTTGCTCCTGACATTCCATCCCTGATATTGATACATCCCCTCCCATTCCTCCTCCACGGTCAGCTGTTGCCCTGGGGGTGGCCCATGCTAACAGGAAAGTGTACTAGGGAGAACCACAGATCCTATGCCAAGAAAAGTTGACTCCAACAATATGAGAAACCTAAACCAGCTGAAAAAGCAGCATGTGGATCTGGGCTGTCAGCAACTCATTCAAGCGGCCACTTGAGACCCTCATCTCCCTTTACACTGGCCATGAACCCATGGATCATGTGAACACATGGGACAGGAAAGAGGGTGGCATGAACTGCTACACATCAAGAGGCAGAAGGGCAGTGGTGTGTTCACTTCTGGCTGGCCTGTTCCATCCAAGCTTGCACGGGTTACCTTCATTTGATAGAGATTCAATCAGTACTCTGCAAAGTATTTCAAAACCCATTCTCTCCAATACACCCACCATTAACTCTGCAAGATAGCCATTAGGCCTCTATGTTGCTAAGAACTCAGAGGAGTTAAGAACTTCCTCATGAACAGAAACACTGTCCCCACCACCTTCAACAGACACATGCCCCTCAAAGCCCCAACTCACCCGGGTGATCAAAGTTGAACTGGCCCTTCAGGGCTTTGGCTTTCTGCTCTGAGGTGAGGACTCGGTAGAAGCTATCCTGGCTCAGGATGACCACCTGTTTCTGGTGATAGTCCACCTCATTCTGCCCCAGGAGCTGCACGATCTTAGCACAAACGGAGGACTGTAAGAAGAGAAAGGACACTCAGGAATAAGAGAAGGTATGTGGGAGTTTGTGTGTGGGAAGAATTCAGCAGCTACCATCATGTATGGCAGATTAAAAGGCTGAGGGAGGACTAGCCTGCTGAGGTCTGAGGACTCCCAAAGTCCATTTTTCCTTCTTGTAGCATGATGCTACTATGGGATAGTCGGCATACTCGGCATACTCGGTGTAAGACAAGGCCCTACCTCCTCTCCTAAAGCCACTGATAAGAGAAAGGAACGCCCATTTGCTCTGCTTTCTTGACCTCTGTGTACACATATAAAAGACACCAGAAAGTGAATCTGATGCTGTGCCAATGGGTCAAAAGATCAAGAAGCGACTGCATAACCACAGGATACTCAGCCCCTGCCTACAGGTGAGGGAGTGGGACCAGCTAACTCAAAACCTATGTGCTTTGTGTTGTGATTTGGTATCTGTCTCTCTCCCAAATAACAGGCACTGTTTGTAAAAAGGAATTATCAAAAGTAAATTCTAAGCACTGAGATAGCAAAGGATTATTTTTATCAACTAACTCATTTCTTAGACCTCCAATTGTTACACTCATGCCTGTAATCCCAGCAGAGGCAGAAGTAGGCAGATCACTGTGAGATCTAGGCACCTGGCTTATGTAGCAATTTCCAGGCCAGCTGGGATTACAGGGAGACCCTGTCTTAAAATACCAAAACCAAACCAAACCAAACTCCAGAATTAGGCGAATGACGCAATTTACTAAAGGCACTGGATACCAAGTCTAATGACCCGGGTTTGATCTCAAGGACCCACAAGCTGTCCTCTGTCACACATGCACTGTGACATGCAAAACAAAACACATACTAAAGAAAGTATAATTACAAATACCCCCCCCCCGCAAAACAAAAATGTCAAATTCCAATTCTTATAAGGTTGTCTGGTCTGTCTGAGCATAAGAAAAGTAGCCCCTTCCATTGCACAAGTTCACACAAATAAAGCCGTTCTGCGCAGCAGGCTCTGCTGCTCTCTGGAGAAACAATATTGGGATGCAGCTGTGTATTTAAAAATTTTCTTTTGGTTATACTTTTGCACAGATGAACATTTAATGCTATAAATAGGCAAACAAATTCCAGAAGAACTAGATCAAGGGAGGCAACAGGTACATAGGAGTTGGCTGTAGTACTGTATATTTGCAAAGACAGGGGTTGGGAAGAAGCAAGGAAAGCGGGAGTCCTCTGGAGGCTCCACTCTGCAATGAGTAAATGCACTCTTCCTAACTTAATGCTCACTAATCCTGTGCTCCCCTTTAGAGGAGTAAAAACAAAAGCTTCAAGATGTCATTTTGTTCCTTTAGATAAGTTACTAGTGACTAGGGTCTGAACACAGCAACCACGAGGCTGCAGAAAGCTAAAACTAGGAGAAGGTGCAATGTTACCATGGGCTAGGACTTTTTTTTTTAATTTTATTATTTTTATTTTTTTATTATTTTATTATTTTTATTTTATGTGTATGTGTGTATTGCCTGCATGTAGGTAAGTGCACTGTGTCATACAATGCCCGTGGAAGTCAGAAGATGCTGTTGGATTGCCTGGGGCTGGAGTTACGGACAGTTGTTAGCTGTAATGTGGGTGCTAGGATTCGAACCTGGGTCTTCTGCAAGAACAACCAGTGTTCTTAATTGCTGAGCCATCTCTCCAGCCCCGGGCTAGGGCTTTTGTAGCAAGTAAAAAGCAAATGTTATAGGAATCCATTTGTGAGGTATCTACAGCATTTGAATTCATGGGTACAGAGAGCTGGATGATGGCTACCAAAGGGTGAGGGGGAAATAGAGAGTTTGTTTAATGGATATAGTTTCTGTTTGAATGATGAAAGATTCTGGAAACTGGCTATCCAATGTGAACATGCTTAACACTACATGTACACTTAAAACTGCTTAAGATAGGGTCTGGGGAGACAGATGGCTTTACTCTTGCAGAGGACCCAAGCACTCAGAACAGGTGACTCACAACTGCCTATAACTCCAGCTCCAGGAAATCTAATGCCTCTGGCTCCGAGAGCACTTGCACTCAGGTGCACACAACAAAGACATACACATAATTAAAAATAAATCTTTTATAAAATGGCTATACAAAGGGAGAGGAAAATGAAGATGATAAATCCTGTGGCATATATACATTGCCAAAAATTAAAAATAATTGTTAGCTGTGTGTGGTAGCATACACCTGCAGTATCAGCTCTTGGAAAACTGAGGCAGGAGAATCAAAGCTATACAATAATACCCGATCTCAAATGAAGAGACCCTGCCTCAAGCGAGGAGGCAGGTAAGGACCAGCACCTGAGGGTATTTATTCTCTCTCATTCATTCCCCCCCCGCCCCGCCCACCCAATAAAAGGTGGTCAATACAAAGTATCTTTTTAAAAAGAAAAAACATAGACGGTGTGCTTGTGCATGGCCCCAGGTGAGCCAGGGCCCACCTGAGTCCCGACCGGAAACTTCTGCTGAGCTTTGGGGCCAGAGGAATCCTCAACCATGGATGACTCACATTTTCTTCTTGAAACCTGCTTTAGATTTTTTTTTTTTTTCCTGGAAACCTTGCAACTATCCTAAAACTTGATGTATTGTAGAAGATATTTATGGTGCCAAGAGGTCATGTTTGGTTAGAAGGTGATAATTTACAGAATTCTACAGACTCCAGGTACTATGGACCTAGACCATATGGACTAATAAGAGGACAGATCGTCTTTAAGATTTGGCCTTTCAGTGATTTTGGATTTCTGCGTGACAGCCCAAATGGCCACAGATTTTCTGATGATTAGCAAGAATAATTTTTTCTACTTGATTATTGTCTTCTATTCAAATGAATTTATTACTGCAGTTCAAACCATCAGACTCCAGGTACTATGGACCTAGACCATATGGACTAATAAGAGGACAGATCGTCTTTAAGATTTGGCCTTTCAGTGATTTTGGATTTCTGCGTGACAGCCCAAATGGCCACAGATTTTCTGATGATTAGCAAGAATAATTTTTTCTACTTGATTATTGTCTTCTATTCAAATGAATTTATTACTGCAGTTCAAACCATGAACTTAGCAATAAATTATTTGCTATTCGGAAAAAAAAAAAAGAAAAAGAAAGAAAAAACATGGAAGTGACCCTAATTTGCAATGCCTTTACCTGTGTGGCATTCTGAAGTCCTTTCATTCAATCCCACTACAAGGTAGTCTTTTTCCTAGTAGAAAAATGAGGCCAGAGAAGCAACCTGTTCAGTCATAGAGCTGAGTCTCAAACTTATGCCAAAATACATAATCCTTTTCATCTTTCCAGAACTGAAGCTATTTTGGCAAGAGCTTCAGTACTCTCCATAAATTTCATGCATTTCTGGCAGACATTGGTAGGGAAGAGAGACAGGGATAGAATTCTGTCCCACTGCATCCTTAAGTCACCATTTATGTTAAAAACCATAGAATTTCATATAGTTAAAGACAGGGAAGTGATCTGTCTATCAAAAAGAAACTAAGTTAGCCAGGCATGGTGGTGCACACCTGTAGTCCCAGCACTTGGGAGGCAGAGGCAGGTGGATCTCTGGAAGTTCAAGGTGAGCCTGGTCTACATAGTGAGTTCCAGGACAGCTGGGGCTACAGGGAGACCCTGTCTCAAAAAGACCAAAAAAAAAAAAAGGAAACTGTAAGTTCATATACCAAGTTTGAGAAATGTTGATGATGTTCAGGAAGAATCCAGTTTTGGGGAGCCAGTAAGGGGCTGAGTGCACCATGTGCTGAACAATGGACTCCTTTCTCAGAAACTCCTACCCCCAGGAAGCCCTAGAGATCCACAGCTAATCAGCAGGACCCTCCAGCTGGCAGTTCCCAAGGGGGCAGCTGTTGAACCTGCTGCGCAGGTTCTTGGGCTGCTATCGAAAGGCTTTTTCTCTAAAATCATCTCACACAAGCTATGGCTCACACAGCCCAGACACCATCTGACCATTCATTCTATTTCTAGTGAATGTGTCTTCTGGGATCTAATCCTTAAGATGACCCCCCGGCCAGCTCCAATACTGCTGGGAGCAAATCAAAACAAGTAGAGCATGAAGCGAAGCCAAAGCCCTCGTCATGCTCCTGCCAGCCCCAGTACTTAACTGCACCGGGCGTGGCCAGGGCCAGGGCTGGAGGGCTCAGCTGGCCACCCCTGGGAGGGCTGCAGGCTGGGGGTGACCCTGGAGGAATGAGCAGACAGCTCTCACCTGCAGCCTCAGGTCCTGGCTAAGGGCCACGCAGCTCAGCATTCTGCAATCCCATCAAGATGCCTGTCATGCTCTAGGGGAGCTATTTCAGAATCAGAGGGAGGGAAGCCTAGGAACAAGTCAGCTCAAAGGAGCCAATCAGATCCCAAGTAGGCGTGCTGACTGATCACTTCCTTCCGCTCAGTTAACACTTGCTCTCAATTCAGCTGACCCCATCAAGTAGTGGTGGTAGAAGGCCAGATGCTTGGCCTCTGCCTGCACTGAACAGTCCATCTGGCCCCTTTGCTCTGGGACTATAAGCAAGTCATATCAATTACTCTTCAGAGGCTTTCCCTGTCACTATCATTATGATACACTCCACCAAGTTATATGGTGTCCATCTCAGGGGAAACTACCATGGCCCCCAGACATTACGTCACTCCTTTGGGGCTGGGACGTCTTCCTCACACAGCTCAGAGGCTCTAATTTACAGGCATGGGAATACCAAAGCACCAGTAATTTTCCCTGGCCAAAACTGAGAACAGAGTTCAAACCTGTTGACTCTACCTAGAGCAAATGGACTGCAGCAGCAGCAGAGAGAATGTGGCTCAAATGCTTCCCAGTAGTAGCTAAAAGCCACCTTAGAGTCCTAGATGGCCCTAGATTCAAACACTGCTAAGAAAGTTTCCTTAACATGCAAACACACACACAAGATCTAAAGAGAAACTTCCTAAACGGCCTCTAAAAGTCTTCAATACCCCCAAAGCAGCCATAGATCAATCCAATAAT